CTGCATTCGTTCTCATCCCTGCTCAGCAAACCTTGGCTCATGGCCTACTCTATGCCAGGCTCAGCGCAACATAGTGGGAATTTAGCAGCGGCATGATAGACACGGTCCCTGCTCTCATGGAGCTAAGGAGGGTGTCAGAATTTAACCCCCAACATGTCACACCACCTGTACTATGAGTAGGTGCTGACCAAGTCAAGCTGGCAGGTAGGAGCAGGCAGGCTCCAGGTAGAGGGAATGGCATGTGCAAAGTCTCTGTGACAGGAGGAAACTTGGCATGTTCCAGGACTGGCGAGGAAAGCGCAAAGGGGCGAATGGAGTTGGAGAGGGACCCCGGCAGCCCTCGTGGGCAAAGTCAGGGACAAGCCTCAGTCAGTCTTTCGAAAACGGCCCATTTGTCAAGGTCTGTGGAACTCGCTCCTCATTTATTCATCAGATCTTTCATTCTGGGTTTCCTTTCTTCTTACTTGCAACAAAGCATTTTTGAGTTGAAGAGATCTCTTGTACTTGGGCCCATATTTACTCTTGATGAAACTATGACCTTGATGAAATAATGTCAACATTATTATTCCTATGAATTCTATAGAGTAATCTTAGCTATCATCTGTTGAGCTCCTACTGTGAACTCTGTAGTGAGCTCCTACTATGAACTCCTACCCTCCCCTCAACACCCCCCAAAAAATAAAACAAGATAGGTTCACATCCTCACCCTTGGTACCTGGGAGTGTGACCTTATTTGGAAGAAATGTCTTTGCAGATGTCACTAAGTTAAGGACCTTGAGATGAGGTCATCTTCGATTCACCGGGTGGGCCCTAAATCGTATGACAAGTCTCCTTAGAAGAGAAGGAGAGTCACAGAGGAGAGAAAATAAGGCCCCGTGAAGATGGAGGCAGACATTGGAGTGAGGCTGCCAACTTTCAGAAGCTGGAAAAGGCCAGGAAGGATTCTCCCCTGGAGCCTCTGGAGGGAGCGCAGTCCTGTCCACACCTTGATTTTGGATGTGAGACCTCCAGAACCATGAGAGAAGAAATTGCAGCTGCTTTTCAGACACCTAGCTTGCAGTAAATTGTTACAACACCCTGAGGAAACGAATACAACCACTGCGTCCGGAGAGGTGTCCCCACTCGCTGCCTGCCCCGTTTTTCTGCATTGTCATCACAGTCTGTAATGATCTCCTCTGTTTCCTTGCCAGTCTCTCACAGTTCGGGACTATGGTCCCCACAAGGGCAGTGTCCCCAGGCTCTGGGGCAGAGCTTGGTCCATTTGTTTCCGAATGAGATATGGTGGGCGATGCATACCGATCCAAAGAGAATAGAACGCATGTTCTGAGATTGCGGCCCAGAAAAATAAAAAAATAGCAAAGACTAAGGCACATGCAAAACAAACAAACAAACAAACAAAAAAGGTATCTAAACCAAATTTCAGCAGGAGATTTTACAACTCTCCCATGGGCAGCCTGTTCTTACCCAGGCTTTTAATTGAATTCGTACATCAAGTCAGCTTGCAGCATGTCTGGGGAACTTGCATGCGGGCTGCCAGGACTGAACCAACTCCCGGAAACCTCATTAATTTCGAAATGAGAAATGATTTCACTTCTCAGCCATTGTCTGGAGGCAGTGCCATGCAGGGGCTGGATCTTACAGGGCCAGGCTTTCACACCAGCTGTCCCTTGCTGTTACTCTATGGGTCTTGAAATGGGCACCTTACACTTGTCCTCACACATCCTTCTCATGATAATACTATGAGCCACATATGAGTACCTCCGTTTCACAGATGTGGGGCTTCTGAGGAATTCAGTGGCATGCCCAAGGTCCCCAGTCAGACCCTGGGTTCAAATGCAAGCCACCTGGCTGGAAAGTCTGTATTTTTGACCACTGTGAGGTCATCTCTCATGCTTCCTTGGTTTCTTTTTTATTTCTTAGACACTGCCATATTGTTCTTGCTTTGGAGCCACACGGTCTAGCTCTTAATTAATTAATTAGGTCAATAAATACCTGTGGAACGCTCACTATATCATAAGAGTGTTACTAGAAACTCAAGGATACATTTGTACAAGACGAGACAAGATCTGCCTCGTCAAGGAACTCACAGCTTAATAGGTGAGAAAAGTGACCAAGATACCTTCAACACTAGGAAACAAACGCCGGGACAGGGTGACGGTGGGGAGCTGAGGGGGCACAGAGAAGGGGCGCCTGACTGTGTGGACAGTGGCAGACATGGGTATAAGGAAAGATTCCCGGAAGAAGTGATGTTTTGCTTGCTCTGGATAAGAGGGAAAGTATTTTTTTTCATGCCTATCCTGTTGCCAAAAGGATTTAAAGAGGCTCAGTGCCCAGCTCATGGTAAATGACCAATAAATATTTGGTAAATGAATGACTGGTGAAGAAAGCACTTTGCAATTCTTTCCCTTTTTGCTTTGGCTGCTGGGAAGCTCAGAGCCATGATGGTGGCAAATGGTTAGACCTTGAGATCTTGAGACCCCAGACTTCCTCCATCCCTCTCCCCACCACCCCCACCTCACCATGGGTCTTGGCTGGCATGTAACTCATTCCTTTCCACCTTCTGATGTTGTAATACAAGTTCTAATCATGCCTCGTAACGTCACGTACCTCTCTTTTCCATCACTCTATGCCACCCTCACTGGCTTTCCCCGGGGGACTCCACCTCACCAGGCACACTCCTTTCTCAGACCCTGTACCTGTGACCTTGCCTTTTATCCTGCACAGCTGCCTCCCTCACTTCCTTCTAGTCTTTGCCTAAACATCCTTCCCCCAGGGGAACCACGGCCCTGGCCCCGTCTTTGCTCTGTTCACACCCCTCCCCATGCATTTGTCGCCATCTCTCAACTTTCTCACTGACGGATTTGTCCACTACGTGTCGCCACTCACTAAACGTCAGCCCCGCGAGGGAAGAAGTCTCGGTGTGTTTGCCGTTGAATCAGCCGTGCCAGCGTGCCTGGCCCAAAGCAGGCACTCGGGTAACATGTGTCCAGTGAATAAACAAATGAACAGTAACAATACCTACCTCGCAGGGGGGTGCGAGAATGCAGCGTGGTACAACCCAAAGCCTGACACACACAAACCTCAGCAACTGTCCTCAGTAGCAGTAGCATTATCATTAGAAGCAGTGGTGGTCACGACAGTGTTAATTTCCCCCCTAGCATTTGGGAGCAGGCTCATAGGAGGTGGTCAGGAAATGTTTGCTGACGGATGGACGGAAGGATGTGAGTCACCCTTTTCTACCCACCTGTCCTCTCTTCTCAGCCATGCACGGGACCTTTGTGATTCTGCTGCCGTTCAGCCTGATCCTGATGGTGTTTGGGGGGATGACAGGGTTTCTGAGCTTCCTCCTCC